GAGAGAGAGAGAGAGAGAGAGAGAGAGAGAGAGAGAGAGAGAGAGCAAGCAGATGTTTCGTCAGAGCTACAGCAGGATGAGGAGGGGACCGGTAGACAGCGAAAACAAGATGGGATAGAAAAAAAAAAACTCAGCCACGACGATACATGTACCTCATCCCAGTTTAACTATTGGAGCAGCTCGAGTACAATCGGCGTTGGTCTCAGTTCTAGGGCAGGGCGCCGTCACAACCCGCCTACCTGATAGTCCCGATCGCCGTGAAATTGTAGCCTTCCTCCTCTTCCATTTCCTAACAAAAGGGTCGCACGCAATCACCGGTGGACGCGACATGTGCAATGGTGGAGTTGGACGATACTAAGTAGGTGGACGATAGGGAGAAGGGTAAGTACACAAACCGGTCGGCACGACGGATGGCCTTTCCTCTCGGTCGCGAGAAAAAGGGGCGCGCACCACCGGTCAACAACGCAGAGTCCGAGAAGCTATCAAGCGCGCGGCAGGCGAAATGGAACGCATGGGGACACTCACTTGCTTTTCCGCGCGGAGGCGTCTCTCTGCCTCGGTGCGCCCTCTTCGCTCCTCGGCCCGCTGCCGCCCCTCCTCGGCAACCTGCCGGTCCAGCTGGCGGATTTTGGCCGCTCTCGCCTCAAGCTCATCCTCCTTCAGCCAGCGTACGTGGGCGGGGCAGGCAGTAATGGGTGCGTGGCGTCGCCAGCTGGGGGCAACAGAACATGGGCGTTGCTTGACGAAGTCGGCCACACGCTCGTCCCTGAGAAACGACCAACAACGACTCGGACACTCTCTGCAGGGTTGTAACAACGCCACTGCTGTGCCCAGTCAAACTTTCACGCGAGAGCACACGCACACACACCACAGGTCGACACCTGCAAGGGAGCCGCTTGGTCGGGAACCCACGACACGTACTACTGCTGTATCCTCGCCATCCAACGTGACCGTCCCAGCACCCGTCAATGAACGACACGGCCGGGCCGGCAAGAGCTAGATGCTCGGCGCAGCTTGTTGTGCCTCACGAACGACTTTCTTCAAACGGTATGGTCGGCTCCGGCTCGCTGGGGACCAACGCTGGAGGCGTACACCGGGGCAGCGCGAGCACTCGCCAGAAACACATCGTGACTAGAGATCCACCCTCACCAGCTACGTGTATATCATCGTGCATCGTACGCATGTTGCCCCCAGACGGCATGCCGTTGGACCAGTCTCTGAGCCGTCTTGTTTTCGCTGCGACTGATACGCAAGCTCGCCAAAATCAGACAACATCAGTAGCGACCCGCGAGGTTGCGTATCGGCCAAAGCCGAAAACGACGTCTCGGAGACAGTCCCATGGCCTGCCGTCCTGTTTTTGGCAGAACGGCTACTACACAATGATGCACGTTGCTGGTGAACGGGGGATCTCCTGTTGCGGTGAATTGTTCTTGCTGCTACGGCGTACGCCTCCAGCAGCGTTCGTGCCCAGCGAGCCGGACGCCACCATGCCGTCGAAGCAAGTCGTTCGCGAAGAACAACAAGCGGCGCGGAGTAACTAGCCTTTGCCGGCCTGGTCGCGTCGCTTTCGACGGGTGTTGGTGTTGAAATAATTGGCACTAACGTAGCTTCAGCATTTTGTTGTCAGCTCGAATAGTTCAAATATTGGCAATGCCGCAATATGTCATGTCGCAATCAAATTTACGTGTCTCGGAACACCCAATACATTCCAAAGAGCTGGGACGGTCACGTTGGATGACGAGGGATCGTACGACGGGCGTGACGTGCCGTGGGTCCTCGACCAAGCAACTTCCTTGCAGGGGACGGCCAATGGTGTGAGCCTACATGAAGAATAAGCTGGGCACAGCAATGGCGTCGTTGCACCCTACCACTCGTTCTGCTCCTCATGGAAGATTTCCAGCTTAAGAGTCGGGATGTGTGATATCCAGTGTAACCTATGCACACGTAGCGGATATACCGCTATCGGTGCATGTCTTGTCATCAGCTTGTTTGTGGATATTTCGAGGCACATCGGCAAATGACAATGCAAGATACTCCAGACGAAAGACTAGCTGGGCATTCTCTGCGTTCTACAATTCCCTTGACACGTCCAGTGTGAACTACTGCTGTACACAGAAGTAGTACCGACGATATTCTCGGGTTTGCCTCCTCATGATCGCGCTCTCGCGCCAGGCCCTATGCTTACAACTAGTAGATGCAGGTCCAATCGGGAGAAAGAGCAAGGAATGGAATACATCGGAAAAAACAACCACGGTAGTGTGTGGCTTACGCCTCGGCATCTTGGGCGCAAAATCTTCACCGCATACCTTTTGCTGGAGGTGCGAAGCCAAGGCGATCCGTCCGCGCAAGGCGAGCGCCGCTGCTGCGACACCAGCAGCACCAACCAACAATCCAGCGGCGAACGCCGTAGACGCTTTTTCACCAGCAGTATTCAGCGGGAGATTCTTCATGACTTTGAATGATGGGTCTGTCACGTATCGCTGTCGTCGAACGTGCACTGCACGTTCACCTGTCGACTCCTTTGACCAGCTGCGGCTGGGGCGCTGTGCTGGTACCCGCCCGCTCTTTCTGACAGTCCTGTGCACCCCTCCCAATAAATACATTGTAAATACTGTGTGTCGTGCTTCCCAAACAACACCCGATCAGGCGTAACACCCTGGAGCTCAGTTCCCACGTCTAGTTACACGTTACACGTTACCTACTTCCCTCTTCCGCCGCTTCTGCCGTGTCGACCATGCCTTTGGCCGATGCCGTGTTTGCGAGCATGCTGCCTGTTGCGGTCCTATGGTCGACTGTTTCCAGGCCTGCTGCATGGCTTTGTGGGAAGGACGCGACATCGCCGCTACCGCCGGATGTTGACCTCTCAGGTATGATGTGGTCTAGGCATCTAGAGTATGCATAGGGAGGCAACCACTCGCCCAACTTCATCTCTACCCGTCAGGACATCGAGTTCTGCATGTACACAGGTATACTTTAAAGTATACGAACAACACAGGCATGCATTCAGCAAGGCCATGTCCCTGATAACTGCTAATGGGGTCAATGTCATCGTACTTTGCTGGAAGAACATGGGCGCGCAAAATGTACTGACGCCTGAAATCACCCTTCCCCCCGTCTTTACCGACCGACGGGGGTGAGCGCCGTTGTGTTTGCGTGCGCGCGGCAAACTCTCGCCGGCACTCCAGGTCTCTGTTGTTCTTAGCGGTTACTGAACTTCTAGGGGGTGGACGGCGCTTGTGGTGCAAAGCACGTACTGCTGTAATTTCGACTGAAGCTAACAGGTGGCAAGGGTCGAGCACCCCACCCAACGAAACATGATGTTGTACGCCAGAGCCCGGAGTGCATGTTTTGTGCGGCGCAAACAATCGCAGCTTTGCGATGTGCATGTTTCTGGCTTTGGATGTTCGTTCCCCTCTGTTGGGGACATTGTCCAGCCGGCTCTCCAACAACGACGCCTCTGTCTGACTTTCGCCAAAGTTGTACTAAATCGAGGCAGAGGCGGGTTGTTGGAAAACCAACTGCTGGCGGAAGTCCGCAAGAAAGTACGGGGACGCAGACTACTTGGTTGTAGTATTTGGCAACACAACACCGATGCCAGAGAGCGCGTCCGGTATACTATTGTGCGTTTGCGGGGTTCGATTGGGGAGGACGAGAACGCAAATCTGCTTGCAAACTAAGAACGGCAGATGCTCACTGCTGTCCGAATTTATCGTTGCACACGATCGCTCTACACGAACTGTGTTGCAGCACCCTAGCCCCGCTTCATAGCACCGACGCGCCTGCTGTTTGTTTGCCTTTGACAAAATGCCGGCCTTTCACACCCTGACTCTCGCACATGATTACACACCTCACTCAGAGGTCTTTTCATTGGTCGTTACGTTGGCGCGGTCCGGCCGACACACGCGCTCTGCGCCCCCGCTTCTCACGGGAGCTCGCGAAAATACGGTTTTGTCCTGGCAGTCTCGCACAGGCCGGTCGATACCCGCAACCCGCGAGCTGTGGACACCCTCATGTCGAGCTTGCTTTGAACGGACGGGAGAATTACTGCGCCATCAAGTCTGAGTCGAGGCGGTTTGCTGCTGCTCCCGGCGATTGCTGTTGCAGGCGTCTCGAGAGGAAACTCTCACGCGGTGTTGCAACCCGATTAGAGCCTCCAAACTTCGGCTACTCCTCCACAACGAGAGCAGTACACGATTCGACTGTAGAGCGCGTAAGCCGCACGCGCAAACCTGTGGTACAGGGCAATACAGCGATCACAGTCAACATCGGAAACGAACGAGTGAAATCAACTCTAAACTCCAGATTTGCTCGCGACGGCGCGATGAGGCCTCCTCCAGCGCGACCCTGACTTGAAAGATTTATGTATCGCAAAGATGAGACTGCACATGAACCCCATTTTTTCAGGTCGGGTGTACAAGAGGCGTTGAAGCCGCGTACCTGCCTTTAGCACGGGGTTGTTAAGCGTGTGGAAAGAGAAGTATTCGATCTCTGTCTGTAGCTCGTGCGTGCGACAAGAGAGATGCGCGATGATGTGCATACGAGTGACGTCCCATGCAGATACGCAACTGAACGTGTTGCTGTCGTAACATTCGGTCACAAAGTAGACCCAAGGGGACGGCGTACCCGCAAATGGTGCGTTGCGACATGGCTTCCCTTACTCGTGGCAATCAACCTCCGCGGGGGAGTTGTGCCGGCGGACTCTTGCGAAGAGACGAAGATCTCCCACAAGATAGGGATGTATGAAGGTGCCCCAGCTGTTGGCAGCTCTTGGAAGCAGCTGGGTCCTAGGGTAAGGAAAGAGGTACGCTCGCTTGATGCCTTGTCTCCACGATTGTGTAGGAATGACATGTTGCTTGAATTGAGAGCGAGGAAGGTCTGGTTGAGGTGGGGATCCACCTCGCCACCAGGGGGCACGCAGATAGCTGAGTCCTGATGTGGTATGGACCCTCAGAGGTATACCTCCCGACCATCCCACACCCTATTCTAGAGAAAGGTGTACCCTATCTAGGCCCTATTGCAACACTCCTTAACACTAGCCCACCCTGAAGATCATCTATGCAGATTCTAAACTTGAATACTACAAGCTCGATTAAGAAGAGCTGATGATTAATGATCATGAGTCGAACGATATGACTCTTCACAAATAGGATCCAAAGGAAAGGGGAGCTGTAGAAATATCCTGAAACTACCCCCCACACCACCATTGAGACAAAGCTTGCTTGCTTACACCAAGTTCACAACACAAGTGCGGCTCAATAAGATTGCTCGTACCCATGGAGGGATAGAGCTAGGAAAGAGAAATTCTGTAAAGCACATTACTATCAATGACAATACCAAATCCAAATCAAAACGCCACATGCCACTCTTTTCCGCGCACGGGCGCGTATCTCAAATAGAGCAATGAGGGCGAGCACCCGACAGAGAATACACCAGCATCAACACAAAAACTCAAAACCCAAGTATGGAGGAGCAATGGGAAGCCATGGCGGGCACACAACCTCAGGGTGATAGAGTTGGCTTCGCTGATGAAGGAGGGCATGACTACATAGGTTGAACGACTACAGGGCCGAAAATGTCTAGGCCAGCGACAAAACCTACAAACATCACCCAATGAAGCAAAATTAATGGCTCCGGGGCAGAAAAGGCCCAAGGCGGAAAAGAAACGCGACGAACCGCCCTGTATCTCGCGTACGATGATGTCGATATGTAACACACAACATTAACACAAGAAACATATAACACACACAACACTGAAACTCAGAATCTCGACGGTGATGAAGGCTTCGCCCGAAGGTGACGATGGCGCAGGAAAAGCCTTGCAAAGTGGGTGATGGCGAGCGTCGACACAGGCCACAGGAGAAGGCGACGCAGCGGTATGGTCCCGAAGCATGGAACGCAGTTGACACGCCTCCGTCAAGATGAAGCTAACAGAAACAAACGTTAGCTGCAAGATGGACGATGAAACCTGGGGAACTCTTTTTCCAAGTATTCAGAGGCAAAGACACCGACTAGCTTGGGGGAACTTGTTTTCCCAAGTGTTCAGAGGCATACGACACCGTCCGTTTTGGGGACCTCGTCGACCCGCACTTTCACCACTCCCTCACTCCCTTTGAGTGCATGAACATCCATCAGCTACTCCGGCCTTCGTACGGCCCGCTGGCCACAGCCTGCCGCCGCTCCTCAGTTCCACCAACCTTTGGACAATGGCTCGTACGNACCCGCAATCTTACAACCCACTCACCCCCTTCGAGCGCGTCAACGGCCACGAGCTGTTGCATGGCCTTCGCAATGCCCGCTGGGAGGAGCATGACGACGCTCCTTAGCTCCACCAACCTTTGGACAACGGCTCGTACACCGGGTCGCCGAGGGGGCGCGGCGGATACCACCACCGCAGTAAGCCAGACTACAGTTCTTATGCTGAGGACACGAGTGGTCGCCACCGGGCTCGGACGGACCGGGACTTCCATTACGAAGAAGAGGAGGGTCCGTTGGACCCTCCCCTTCCTAGTCAACCCTCGTCGGACCCTCCTCCTCCTAGTCAACCCTCCTCCTCCTCGTAATGGAAGTCCCGGTCCGTCCGAGCCCGGTGGCGACCACTCGTGTCCTCAGCATAAGAACTGTAGTCTGGCTTACTGCGGTGGTGGTATCCGCCGCGCCCCCTCGGCGACCCGGTGTACGAGCCGTTGTCCAAAGGTTGGTGGAGCTAAGGAGCGTCGTCATGCTCCTCCCAGCGGGCATTGCGAAGGCCATGCAACAGCTCGTGGCCGTTGACGCGCTCGAAGGGGGTGAGTGGGTTGTAAGATTGCGGGTCGACGAGGTCCCCAAAACGGGCGTGCTGGATAGGCCTGTCGCGGAAATATTGCATGGCAAACTTGCGGCACGAGTGCCACGCGACCACATCACCAACGCGAGAGTTCGAGCAAAAGGGGGTATCAGCTAATGGCATGTCAAACGTGAGGGAGAGGAAGGCGCGGTCACCGTACTGTTCAGCGTAGTCCGGTACAGCTTGGGAGATGCCCTCAGCGGCGGTCCCCTAAGCTCCCGCCAGCGTTACGGAAAATGTAGGCGATGGCGGACTTCCTGCACCCGCCGAACCCACATGCGCACGACGAGAAGCGGACGGTGCTGTCTCCGTCAAATCGCCTGTCACCAGCCTGGAATGACGGGCCATCAACGCCCGAGCGCGGCGCTGTCTCGCAGCCCAGCCGCAGCCTCAGCCTCCTCTTCAGCCCGTTTGCGCTGAAGATCCTTCTCGATCCTCAGCTTATACGAAACGCTGTTCCCACAGCGTGAACTGTCCGGGGCTCATGCTATCAATGCCAGCATCCAGGGAAATTTCAGTCGTCAAAGACTGCACAGGAAAAACGGGGGGGACATAACCTGGGGCAACAGAACGAACGGCAGACTTCGAATACGGCGAAGCGCCAGTGGGGCTCTCGGCTCCAGCGAAAACTCCAGTAGCGCCAGCAAAGTGTTCTCCCCGAGGCGGCGAAGCGCCTACCCCATCAGCTCCAAAATCAGCGTCAGCAGCTCCAGCAGTCTCCGAATGCAGCAAAGTGCTAGCAGCTCCCACAGCTCCAGCGGAAACGCCAGCAGCACCACCAGAATGTTCCCTCTGAGCCGGCAAAGCGCCTACACGAGCAACTCCAAAACCAGGGCCAGCAGCTCCAAAAGAAACACCTGCATCCGCCGAGGAATTCGGGTACCAGCCATCACCTTGCCTGTGCCCGTAGAGTGCTGAACAGCAGTAGCCTGCACGTTCTCCGACACCAAAAGATCGCCACCCACACGCACCTCGGCTGCAGCAGATTCCGCAGGCAACAAAGTGCCTGTGTCCTCACAGGCAGCAAAGGCGGCATCCAAATGC